GCACTGCACCGATCTGAAGCCAGGAGCCAGGTGTTTCCTCCTGGTCTCCCATGCAGGTGCAGGGGCCCAAGCACTTGGGCCATCCTCCACTGCCCTCCCAGGCCACAGCAGAGAGCTGGACTGGAAGAGGAGCAACTGGGACAGAATCCGGATCCCCAACCAGGACTAGAACCTGGGGTACTGGCGCCGTAGGTGGAGGATTAGGCTAGTAGCCACGGCGCCGGCCCCGTGAGGACATTTGACTCTTGGACACCCCTGTCCTGGTGGCCCCATCGTTCCCAGGGAAATTCCAAAGGAAAAGGGCTCTGAAGGGACTTCACCAGGGACAAATCACCGCAATCCGTTGCCCATGATCCTCCTTTTTAACTGCATTTGCAAGCTCTCATGGTGGCTGACCCTATTTTTTTTATAACATCCTTTTTTTGTGTTTTTATGTTTTGGCATCTTTGTGTATATATCACTGGCACTTAGCACCCTCTTTAGCCAGGATCTCATTATTGCTTCCTTTTTATAATAACATTTAATTTAGCTATTTTCCATGTATTGGCCCTGCTAAAATAGAAAGTAACATTTTTCATATAGCGGGATGTACCTTCTGGAAGAAGGAGGTCAGAGCAGTGAGAAGCTGGCCTCTCTCCTAGGTAGCTCCCCACTGCTGGCTGCACACGCTGTACTGTCCTGGGCCCAGCTAGGGGTGGGGAGTGGTGAGCTGCAGCCAAGGTCACGGGCAGGCTTGCTGATTTCTTCTGCTTCCCAGGAATGAGCTCATCAGCGTTCCCAGGAATCGTGTGACCCTGGATATCCTTCCCTGTACTGCATTGAGGGCAAGCAAGGTGGGTGCAGGACCCCTCACTGGGGGGCATTGCTGGCAGAGCTCGTGGGAAGCAGCCCTGGAGATGTGCAGGCAGCAGGCACGCGGCGTGCATGGCCCAGGACCCAGAGCTCATGTGACCAAGGGTGGGAACTGTGACCTACTGCTCTATTTCCATTTCTTGATATCGGGAGAGCCTGGGCGGGGGGAGTGGAGAGGAGGCGCTGGACAGAGGTGCCTGTTACAGGGAGGTGGTCATGGGCTCAGAGCTCTGGTGGGCAGGGCTGTGCGGGGCCCAGAACAGACAGCCCCTGCCCTGGCCTGCGGTGCTGACTGCGAGGACTGCGGTGCTGACTGCGAGGACTGCCATGCTGTGGAAGACACCCCTGTTTGCGGGGCTCGTTGTGCTGGGCACCCATTTCTGGACCATTCAGAAGGAGTTTGTCGATGTTAGTCAGAACCTAGACTATTTCGTGGCGTCCGTGGAGTTTGCTGTGGCTCAGTTCAATGACGACAGCACGGAGGAGCAGGTGTACAGGCTGCTGGAGGTCGGCCGAGCCCAGCAAAAGGTGCGTGGCAGTCACTGGGTCCCTTCCCAGGGCAACCTCCTGGGTGAGGAGCCCTGCCCCCAGGCAGGAGGCAGAAAAGTCTTGGTGATGTGGGCCCCGGGGTCATGCCATGCTCCTGCAACCATGGCCTGGGGACCCTCCCTCTGGCACAAGCCACAGTTTCCCCGGGACTTTCCAGTGACCTTGGGCGCTGTCTCCTTGGGTGGATCCCAGCCCCGAGTGCTCAGGGCCACAGGAGCCCTTGGCACTGATGACTGCTGACCCTGCTGCATCTGCCCCAGCCACAAGCCCCAGGCCTGGCTGAGAGTGTGGGGACCACGCAACGGGGCTTGGGCAGCTGTAGAGGAGTAGGTGACACTACTGGTGAATCAGGCATGAGTGTGCGAGTCCTGTTGGTGTCAGGGATGGATGTGCAAGTGTTTTCTGCATTGTGTCAGACATGTGTGTGAGTGTGCTGTTGGAGTGAGTCAGGAATGAGTGTGTGTGAGTAATGTTGGTGTCAAGTGTGAGTGTGCAAGTGTGTCTGTGGATCAGGCACGAGTGTACAAGTGTCACACACAAGTGTGCAAGTGTGTTGCCATTGTGTGTCAGACATGAGTGTAGGAATGTGTTGGTGTGTGTCAGGTAGAAGCATATGTGTTGTCAGGGTGTGTCAGGTGTGTTTGAATGGGCTGGTGTGTGTCAGGCATGAGTGCAAGTGTGTCAATGTGTGATAGGCATTTGTGAGTGCTGTCAGGATGTGTCAGGCATGAGTGTGTGATGGGCTGGTGTGCGAAAGGCATGAGTAAGTGTGTTGGTGTGTTGTCAGGCATGAGTGTATGACAGGCTGGTTTGTGGTGGGCATGAGTGAGTGTGTTGGTGGTGTGTGTGTGAGGCATGAGTGCAAATGAGCATGGGGATATTACTGTCACCTGCTCGGATGCTGAGCGCCACGTAAAGTCAGCCTTCCAATTTCTAGATACAGTGTCCCACTGTGTTGGGGGCTGGATTTGTTTCTATCAATGCACCCCAGTCTGAAAGCAGACACACTTCTGAACACCTTATGGACGCATGAAAAACAGAGATCATCTGAAAACTCCCTTACAGACGCAGCAGCCCAGAGCTCATGTGTCTTCACCTCCGTGACATTGGCAAGCTGCACTCTGTTGCCCAGCTCCAGCTGAAGCAACACACCTGTCTCCACCGGGTCCTGCCCAGGCACTAATCTAGATTCTATTACCCAAAAGGAGGCCAAAGCTCTCGTCTCTAGTCTCGGGCTTTGGTCCTACTCTTTCCTGCTCTATGCAAAAGGTCCTTCAGCAGCTGTCTGTTGTGTCTGGCTGATGCTGTGCATGGGGACACATGAGAGTCACCTCCTATTGTTGAGGGGCTGTCACCTGGGTAGGATTCAGTGGTGTGAATGTGGATCACCCTTTATATTCATGCCCTGGCATGTGATATTGGTGTCA